TGTGAACATGAACACTTTTAAAGTAGTGTCCTCGGTTTTCCAAGTAGGATTACTGACAGAAGATGGCTTGAAATTACAGAAGTAATTTGGAAGGACAAAACGCTGTTAAAAAAAAATATGAGTCCTACATTACACAACTGCCGAGAGAGATATGGTGAGAATACACCTGTTGATTCGTAATATATATGTGACACATGGACCCACCTCTTTTGTGTTGGTCATTGTGTAACCTGAAGTTCAGGAATTCTTTTCAGATATCTAGGGGATGTATTTTAGGTAATATATTTTATTATGTATTATTATACCGGAGTCTTATACAGGGTGGATAAAAAAAAACCCGAAACCGAGATATTATTGCTAATTGGAACAGAAGTAGGGCACATGTGAACCAAAGGAAGATATCCTCTGTTAGGGTCTCCTCTTTTACAATAACACCCTGATCATGGCTTTACATTTACGGTTGACTGAGCAGTGGCCAATTTTATGAAAGGGTATATTTTAGAGAATTATGCCACTTTTCAATTGTGGTTTATGTAAGTATATGCAGATGCACGCACGCACGTTGTGGTCCTTGTCAATTTTCATAAGCTGTTCTTGTCTTGAAGATCCAAAAGTTGGAGAGTCCATAATGCGTGAAGATTATGCAAGACAGCGCTGCGTCTTGCCTTCCAGATTCTGACCATTCAGCAGGCGCCTCCTATCGTGTCTTTGGTGACAATTAACAGCCATTCGCTCTTTTCACACTCCACCTTTGGGTATCCAGAGCCTCGATCTGGCAACTTTACGCAATAAAATAATAGCCCGTTCGCGTAATTTTTATTCCTAGGAGGGTTAGGGGCAATGTCATGAATAATTCATGTTTATCCATGAGAACGGACAATGACATCAACAGCATTGTTGTTAGTTACTCAACTAGTTACAATACATTAAAGCATTTTAAAGAACGGTTGTCGTCGAGCTACCACACAGTAGCCTAGTGGATAGCAAGATGAGCTATGGATACAAAGATCCCAGGTTCGAATCCACGTCGTCGCTGCTCATTTTCATCAGCTATTTTTCTTCTCCAAATTATCACTGAGATAATTTTAAATTAAGGGGAAAATAGAACGAGAACCTAAGTCTTGCAATGATTCAAAGGAAAAACTGAATTATTCATGACATTGCCCCTAACCCTCCTAGGAAAAAAAATTACGCAGCCCGTTCAGTGATCTGAACCTCGACACGGGAATCCTAGAACTGGCTATATTTATTGTGCAAAGTTGCCAGATCGAGGCCCTGCATGCCCATGGTGGAAGTGTGAAAAGAGTGCATAGACCAATCAACAGCTTTGGCCGAACTTTTGCTCTAAAAGATGCCACAAATGCTAAAGGTGTCTTCGATTGGCTAGTGCACGGGGACGCATGAAAGTTCCTTCCAGGGATATAGCAGACGTTTTAGTATGGCTCTCATGCGTGAAAGTATGATCCTCAGACTTGAAAGTTAGATGGAGATTCTTTGATTAAAAAACCCAATGTTATTGCCTCTTTCCCAAAGTATCGCCTAAGGAATTTCAAATTGACACTGAAACCGAGGATCTTGGTGCTGTATTTTGTTGAGAGAATTAGAAATAGTAAAAACCTGAGAGAGTATGAAACAATCCTATATTAATCGCTGAACTTTGAGGGACTCGCTTTCAGTTCTCATCTGAAATTCGTACACATGTATATATGTCGACTATACGGTAGTAATATGTAATGGAACGAGTGGGGCGTGAATAAAGCGGGGCTCCCCAGAAGACACCATTAATCTCTAGCAAAACAGGTCCGATTATACGGACAAAGAGAGTAGGAATGCAGTCCCGTCAGTGGTTCCAGTATCTGAAATGGAACAAGAGGGCGTGAATAAAGTGGCCCCCACAAGACTCAATCAATCCCTGGCAAAACGGGTCTTGCGGGGGCGAAACTATTCTTGAAACTCGTATTGCGATCGTTTGTACTAAGACCGGCCTTCTTCGGCCTTCTTGTACAATTGATGCAAAGATTTCATCATTGTCTACGAGGAAAATGGCAAGTGTTGTAGTACCCTGGATCTTTATAAAGGGTCTCCTCTTGAATGCCAAGGCAATCATTCTAGCCTCCAGCACAGATCGACTTGGAAGCAGCCATCTCTTCGCTAGCCCCATAAATGTGGCCAGTTTACTGGACTGCCTCCGTGAACATAGGCCACACATCCGCCATTACTGAAGCTACTCGAACAAGTTTGCAAAGTGATTTCCACATTGCGACTTCAGACCCAGTTCATTTATGCTTTAAAAATACACTCGCCCTCTTAAATAACAAAGTTTGAACCTGCTTCCAGTGTCAGTTGGCCAGCTGCTGCGTAATTTACGATATTTTCTGGAGGCTTCTTGGCAACTTTTCGGTCCAACTGAACAATAACCTCGCGCAATACCTGACGGGATACGAACCAATATGCAGGAATCGTTCACCTGTCAATCACGCGTGCACGAGGCACGCCGCAGGCCCGGTGGTAGTCCGGTTCCCAGACCAAAAGATTCTGACTATTCCTGATGAGGCCGTGTCCGAAACGGGCTTCAGAGCTACGGCTAGGTCTATAGTCAGCGCGTTCTCACGCATTTTCAATGGGCGTGGACATAGACCTAGCTCTAGACTGTTGATTCGGATGCAGCCTTATGCGTCCCCATGCACTAGCCAATCCAAGACATTTTTGGATTTTGTGGATTCTTTTGGAGCAAAAACTCGGCCAAAGCTGTTTTTGTTTTACTTTCGCCCTTCCCGGGCCTTTTATTATTCGCATTTCTCCAAGTTGAACATTAAATATTTACTTAGTTACACACTGAAATAATGCTCTACAAACTTAAATCACAGAAGACAGATACATTGAAATTTGATGAGTGATTCAGTAAATTTAAGTTCATTTACAAATGTCGTCCAAAGAAACCCGAGGTTAAGAATTTTCTTAGAATTGTGTGTATTGATGACTCTACATTTGAAAACAGTAAAAGAGGCAATTATTATAAAAAGGTTGACATTATCGAAATTTGTGTCGTTAGTTCTATTACCTAGCACAATCTCTTTGAAACTTATGTCTTTCTTAAAGTTAGAATTAACAGATAAAATAGTGTGATTTACACGTTTCCAACCTTGTTTTGGATCTTTAAGAAAAGAACAGCTTATGAAAATTGACAAGGACCACAAGGTGCGTGCGTACATCTGCACATACTTATACAGGGTATCAGTGTAAATCCCAATTATTATTATGCTTAAGCTAGAATAACGGTCAGCAGGAATTAATCCTATAGCAATAATTGCTTATGTATGTAGGGTGTATATACACAAAAAGTAGTGCAAAAGAAATGGTTTAGCACGTGACAGGTGTGAACATGAACACTTTTAAAGTAGTGTCCTCGGTTTTCCAAGTAGGATTACTGACAGAAGATGGCTTGAAATTACAGAAGTAATTTGGAAGGACAAAACGCTGTTAAAAAAATATGAGTCCTACATTAATCAACTGCCGAGAGAGATATGGTGAGAATACACCTGTTGATTCGTAATATATATGTGACACATGGACCCACCTCTTTTGTGTTGGTCATTGTGTAACCTGAAGTTCAGGAATTCTTTTCAGATATCTAGGGGATGTATTTTAGGTAATATATTTTATTATGTATTATTATACCGGAGTCTTATACAGGGTGGATAAAAAAAACCCGAAACCGAGATATTATTGCTAATTGGAACAGAAGTAGGGCACATGTGAACCAAAGGAAGATATCCTCTGTTAGGGTCTCCTCTTTTACAATAACACCCTGATCATGGCTTTACATTTACGGTTGACTGAGCAGTGGCAGTTTTTATGAAAGGGTATATTTTAGAGAATTATGCCACTTTTCAGTTGTGGTTTATGTAAGTATATGCAGATGCACGCACGCACGTTGTGGTCCTTGTCAATTTTCATAAGCTGTTCATGTCTTAAAGATCCAAAAGTTGGAGAGTCCATAATGCGTGGAGATTATGCAAGACAGCGCTGCGTCTTGCCTTCCAGATTCTGACCATTCAGCAGGCGCCTCCTATCGTGTCTTTGGTGACAATTAACAGCCATTCGCTCTTTTCACACTCCACCATTGGGCATGCAGAGCCTCGATCTGGCAACTTTACGCAATAAAATAATAGCCCGTTCAGTGATCTGAACCTCGACACGGGAATCCTAGAACTGGCTACATTTATTGTGCAAAGTTGCCAGATCGAGGCCCTGCATGCCCATGGTGGAAGTGTGAAAAGAGTGAATAGATCAATCAACAGCTTTGGCCGAACTTTTGCTCTAAAAGATGCCACAAATCTAAATGTGTCTTCGATTGGCTAATGCACGGGGACGCATGAAAGTTACTTGCAGGGATATATCAGACGTTTTAGTATGGTTCTCATGCGTGAACGTATGATCCTCAGACTTGAAAAATAGATGGAAATTCTTTGATTAAAAAAATTCCCAATGTTATTGCCTCTTTCCCAAAGTATCGCCTAAGGAGTTTCAAATTGACACTGAAACCGAGGATCTTGGTGCTGTATTTTGTTGAGAGAATTAGAAATAGTAAAAATCTGAGAGAGTATGAAACAATCCTATATTAATCGCTGAACTTTGAGGGACTCTCTTTCAGTTCTCATCTGAAATTCGTACACATGTATATATGTAATGGAACAAGTGGGGCGTGAATAAAGCGGGGCCCCCCAGAAGACACCATTAATCTCTAGCAAAACAGGTCCGATTATACGGACAAAGAGAGTAGGAATGCAGTCCCGTCAGTGGTTCCAGTATCTGTAATGGAACAAGAGGGCGGGAATAAAGTGGCCCCCAGAAGACTCAATTAATCCCTGGCAAAACGGGTCTTGCGGGGGCGAAACTATTCTTGAAACTCGTATTGCGATCTTTTGTTCTAAGACCGGCCTTCTTCGGCCTTCTTGTACAATTGATGCAAAGATTTCATTATTGTCTACGAGGAAAATGTCAAGTGTTGTAGTACCCTGGATCTTTATAAAAGGTCTCCTCTTGAATGCCAAGGCAATCATTCTAGCCTCCCGCACAGATCGACTTGGAAGCAGCCATCTCTGCGCCTGCTGATTTCGTTGTCGTCTCTGCCAAAAAAAAGAGAAAGGTACGTGTTTGGGAACTTGGCTATGTGCAGTTTTGATGCGTGCGAACAAAACGTTACGCAGTTGTCACAAAATTCACGAGAACAGATACAGGCCTCAGTAATTAGGGAAAGCAGTTCAATGCAAGATTACTCACGTTGTTTTAGTCACGTTTTCGATGTGCCTTCAGTCGTGCGATAGTAGGTCGGTGTATGCATTCATTTGCAATATCTAGAAGTCCATTCTTCGCCGAGATCTGTGTTTTCTTTTTAAAGGGAACTGCGTCCTGGAAAGCGCAATTGGGCTACAACTTTTTTTTAAACGAAATGATGTTCATTGGAAAGAGCGTTCGAATTCATTTCACTTATTCATTCTTGGAAAACATGTTGCTACCTCGAGCCACTTTTTTAATTTCATTATCATTTATAACGGTCAGTCATTGCAAAAATGTTGATAAGACTTGAATCTGGGAGTGAGTAACATTTCCAATTTTGTTAGGAAATACTTACATACCCGAATGAAAGGGACGGTAGCTGGGAACAGAAAGGAGGCCGTTATTTACGGCTGGAATTAAGTATGCGTGGGCAACAGAAAATATCCGCCGTGTCACTGTTAAACAACTCGGTGATTCGTCTTTTCTCTGGAACAGTGCGACATTGGGTTAGATTCCTCAAAACCAAATCTTTGAAAAAGGATGACAGAACAATCTTAAACCTAAAACTCGGTGACTCCAAACCGATGTGCCCCTTTAACCGTTCGCAATCATCAAGTGTTAAGCTGTTTGCCCTGTTATGCTGATATACGTGTAGCCGTGTGCTTGATCTTGTTTGAAAACATCATAGAGCAAGGACCCAAGGAGTCAGAACTCTTGGGCGATTTACATTTTGACCATTAACATACCAATCCCTCGGGAATGTCTATAGCTACAGCACTGTGACCGCAAGCCTCGACCATTCAAAGCGTGAATGCCAGCGGCCTTTAAACAAGATGATCGTCGCCGCCTTTTTAGTTGGTAACCAACAACCGGCCTATATGCTGCATAATAAGTCATGTCACGTCGCTGCTCTTTTTTGAAAAATATATTTTACGACAAGATAGGTTTTTACAACTGCGCAGTTGTTAGATGTGAGTTATGAACTCAAGTTAGCAATGTGCAGTTGTTGGTGCGAAGCGTTATCTGTCCCTGTAATTTGGAGATAAATTGGATTTCTTTCAGATAAGTTTTCATGTATTTTCAGACATTTTTATTTGGCAATATATCATTGATGAAATGTGTTTTTTGGGGAAAATTTCACAAGTGTTCACACTAAAGGTACAGAGCATTTTGTTCTTCACGAAATGATTGTTCCAGTGATGTTGACCAAATTTATATACAGTATCATCCAACTGCGAACAAACACTTCAAAATCATTCATTTTTAGCGATGTATGACAACTGCGCATGCGTATTTACCATGGTACTGTCTACGAAGCCATGCAAACTCCTTTTATCATTTCAACACCATTCTACACAATAAACAATCAAATCATCCTGATTTTGGTATTATATTAGTGCTTGCAGCAGCAGCAACCGGGTACGACGACCCAATGTTTTAATTACATCTTTCAATAATTCGAACCTTTAAAGACTTGATAGTATTTACAGAGCTATCATCTATTATCTAGGCGTAAGAGCCTTTCATTATAGACACATTTAAGTAATCAATTAATTATACAGAATTATACCTGAGACAACACTCTTTTTGCAATTGTTATGATTATTTCTAAATATTCGTACCCCATTTGATATTATGTTTAGTCTCATCGCTGTGATGACTACCAGGTACGAGAGTGTTTTAATTACGGTCATTCAAACATTTGAACCTTAAAGACGTTTTGATGGAGACAATATTTACAAAACTAGGGTCTATCATTTAGGCGTAAGAGCTTTTCATTTAGCATATTTGCGTAATCAATAATAGAATTAACCTTGAGACTTGCCTCCTCTTTACAATTGTTATGGTTATTTCCGAATATTCGCACCACATTTGATGTTATATTAAGGCAAGCTTTTCAGAACTATCTTTTTTGGTTTTGTACCATACCAATTACCTTCCGCTGATGATAAATCACGCATACTATTGTGCAAATCTATTCAAACTTGTTTGCGTTCTGAACGCATTAGATCGCTAGAACAATTCTAGCATCTCATCTAGTAGATCTGATCTTTATGAATCTTACTGCCAACCTGCAAATCTCGTTTTATACCTCCGTCAGAAACTACTCCGACCATACCTTGATTGCCACTTGTGGATTTCATTTGAACCTTTAAGCTTTACAGAACTTTACAGAATATTTGGAAAAATGGAAACGTACACCTGAACTATGCAAGACAACTCCTTCAGGCAAGGGTAGCAATGTTCGTCTCTTATAAATACTGTTTGAGACCTTGAACAACTATGAAATTACAACGAGACTTAACAACTGTGTTAAAAATTGTGTGTTGTCGTTGCTGCTCGCAAGCGTGAAGTGATCTACCTTCAATCCAACCACGCATGTGCCGCTCCCTATTCAAATTACCCGCCCTTAACCACTCTACCGTGTCTCATTTACATATCAATGATAAAGCAGATTTATTCTAATTCGTCCCGGTACTCAACCGAATAAGTCAATACTTTTTGGCATTAGTGAGCGCGGATCTCTATTGTGTCGAAATTAGCGTAGTGAGCAACTCAGCAAGCTGGCGCCAGGTGCTTTCTATTGTAGCTTTCGAGCGCGGCGACCATCATTTTACTTTTGAAGTCTTGGAGTACGAACTCCTTGGGTCCTTGCTCTATGAAAACATGAACACATTGTTCCATTTACACCCTTGTATCATTGAAGAACATGTTTCCCATCTATTCTGTACCCCCCTCCGTAACTCCGTAACTCTTTTTGGTTGAACCGACTCAGTCAGGATGAAGACTTCTGTGTTCCTGGTCCTGCTGGTGGTCATCGGCTGTGCCTTTGCATGGGGCGATTCGAACAAGGGTAGGTGGAACCATGTGCGTGGACGTACACATGCACCTATGTATAATTCGAAGCATTTTATGTCCATAACACAAACCACTTTCAATTTTTTCCGACGACAAAGGCTGTATGTTTTCCAGTTTTTCAGTGTTCAAGAAAATGATATATATTTGTGAAGAAAGACATATCTCATTTGACGTGTACACTTTGTTATTCAACCAGTCACTTTTGTTTGTTTTCCGTAAACATGACAACGACATAATTTTATTTCAAATGCCTGTTTATACAAAACAAATCTTATTCTTTTAAACGTTGTTTATTTATTTTGATCACATGTACAGCTCAAACTGACTGACGAGATATCCTGTTTTGTGTGTGTGTGTGTGTGTTTTAATCAGTGCATATGACTTCGATGTCGGGCGAAGTACATGCATGTAAAGTGCAAAATGCAACTCCTTTTGCAGTCTTTAAAATAAATACTGTTTTCGTTTTCAGAGGAGGAGAGAGAATTGATCAGAGAACTTCTCGGGGCACTTGGGGCTCGTCGTGATGACAACCTGCAAGTAAAGAGAGGTTAGTCAGTCTTCATGTCATAACTGGTCAAAACAGTCATGACGACTTATGTCATGCCATAACGACTTATGTCATGTCATAACGACTTATGCCATGTCGTAACGACTTTCGTCATCTCATAACATAAGAACATTCGTCATGTCATCACAACCTCTGTCATTAACTTGATCAGTCCTTGTTCCTCTCCTACCAAACCTTTTCGATGTCGGACATTGAAAAAAAGGTTTTAATCCAAAAGTTAGCTGTCCTAGCCTTTTTCGGACTAACATGACCTTTTGGCCAATTCACCGGTTAGGCCAAAAAAAAATAAGTCGGCCTCTGGTCAGCGCGGGCGTCGATCTTTTTTGTTTCCAAAATGTTCCGCGGTAGCGCCAACAGCGCCCTCTATTTCCGCACCTCCTCAATTTTTTTTTTACCAAAGAGCACCAAGGAATGGGAAATTGCACCAAGGCAAATGATCGAAAGCACCAAGGCAAATCATGGACGACACCAATGTACATGAGGACACCAAAAAAGCAAAAGGGAGTCAGGTTGGCGTAGCGGTACTTTCCTCGCCTTCCACCGCTGTGACCCGGGTTCGAATCCCGCCTGGGCCAACATATGGATTGGGTTTTCACTCCCTGCCTGATTCCGTGGGTTTTCCCCAGAATATTCTTCTGGGCTTTTCCTCCCACCTCTAAAACTGTAACTTCTTCTCATTGTCTTCTATCCACATGTTTCTCCAGGCTTGCGAGCTACAGTGCCAAGGGCGCTTTTGAGGAATCCTTGGTTTCATTACCAGAAATGATTAATAATAATAATAATAATAAATATAGTACCCCACCTTGTCTGTACAATCCAAGCTTGAAGGAAATAAAAAGCGAAAAAAAAAGAAAAAAAAAGCCGCGTGGCCGCGTCTTTTCCGGAACTTTGATCTGACCAGAGACCGAATATATATATTTTTTTGGCCTTAGTACCGAATTATTAGGCCTTGCATTGTCGACGTACCTTTTTAGGGCCCCTGTCTGAAAGCAATTTGCAGCCAAAAAGAAGGGGTTTTTGCCTTGACATAATAGGAACTCTCGGGAAATCTGACGCTCCGTGGAAGAGATAAAAGACGAGATTATTAAAAGTACATTTTTGACACACAATCTCGATCTCAGGTCAGGAATGCAGAGCTACTTTAGAATGTCCATCCGGCCAAGTCTGTGTCAGGCAAAATCGCCACGATCCAGGAAATTGCCAGTAGGGACATTATTAACTCCCGGAATCTGGAACTTTTGGGAGTTTCGGAGCACGGTAGGTTGATTTCTTTAATATTTTGAAAACCAACTTCAAGGATTTTTGCTATTTAAAAAAATGCCATCCCTCAGTGGCGTATGCTGGGGGGACGTTGTCACCCAGAAAAGTTGATGTTTTCACATGTCATCAGCAACTATGCTACAACCAAGAGCCCCCCCCCCCCTATTGACTGTTGCTTGTGAATAAGAATTGCTGAAATGTCACCTTATTGCCCCAAAAAGCCTATGAATGGGCAAAATTTGGCCCATTGTGCGGGCCACTTGCAAGAAATGACTTGCACTCGGAATCTCTGAAACAGAATTACCTTCTCCTGTGTAAATTAATTCCGGCTAGTTATTATCCTCGGTGCACCTGCAATTCTCCTCACCCCTATAAGTTATATGTACATGTACTAAAATATGTGGCAGAAGGACCCCCCCCCTTCTGTTGGTCATTGTGTTATCGGAATCATAGCAATTCTTTTGTGATATCTGGGGTATGTAATAGTCTAGATTGTATATAGTGTATAGGGAAATGGGGGTATTCCTCTGTCACAAATCGTTCATGGTATGCCACAATTCTGGGTTGGGTTTTTTTGTGTGGTTTTTTTTTTCAAAGAAACCTATTAATTACGGCACAAGGTTTTCAAAGAATTTCTTCAATGTTTTACCCAGAGTCTTTCCACTTGCATCATGAAATGGGCATCAATATAAAAAACACACACAATACAATCACACTTCTGATTCAAGGTCTGTGCATTGGAATGTTTGATCCCAGGGCTTTATTTGACCAACTGTATCAAAAGCATGTGTATGAATCCAAGTGTACGTTGAGAACACAGTCCACTGACTTGCACTGTGACGCATGAATAATCTCTCATATGGATTTATTATTGATATCAAGATGCGTTTATCTTGGTGTTGAAACTTCGTTTCTGTTTCACTTTTTCTTGCAGACGGTGACAAGGCAGATGGCTAAGATTTAGATGTTGACCACTTTATTTGAATTACTTAGGGAGCCAGGTATACTAACGTCCTCGCACTAAATTGAAACTAGTTTATATTTTAATCTTGCAATTTGTTCAGCGATCAAGTGTTTCTGATAAAAAAAAAATCAGCAAACCACTCTCACATTTAAAGGCATTATTCAAACATGCGTCCTCTTCTAAATTTGGATGACTTGGTAAAAAAAAAATGGTCCTCCCGTTCTCCTCCCGCCAAATTCAAAGTCGGATTAAATAAAATAAAAGCTCGTGCAACTATCTTTTCATCATATGATATCTTTTGTATATTTAGTTTATTACCGTATAACCCCGCCCCCCAACATCACAATGTACTGTGTTATTCACGTGAAGCAATCGATACATGTATACCTGAAAATGACGGCACGGAGGGTGGAGTTAACATTGGCCTTGATCCGATGAAAAACCACACTGCTAAAATCCAGAATTATCTGAAAGATATACCCCTCAAAGCAGAAGATAGCTTTATAATGTTAAAAAATTGGGGAGAGCCTGTGGCACCCGTCCATAGCTAACTAACCGGCACCCCGACTCCTGAATTTGTTGTTTGACAATATTGGCTCGGGTACCTATTTACCACGGTGACGTTTGCTGTTCATTTGTGATGATAATCTGGCAGTTATGTAATATATTTGTTATTCTCGTAATATTAAAGAAAATAACAGTTATAAAATACTATTATTTGTGTGTCAAAATGCTTTGTCCGTGTCTAAGTATTTTTCCCTTCCGAGGGACTATTTGCCCTTTGCATTGTTATTGTGTTAGAACAAGATGGCGTTCGTTCACAGCGACCATCCTGCGACAACATAACGGGTAAAGCCTGGTTCATACTTCACGCTAATTTGAAGTCACGAAGCATTCGCTGTGAAATTCGCCCAAGTTGAAATATGTAAACTTTTACGAATTTGCAGCGCGAATACTTGCCACGACGTCACACATTCGCGTTTGCGTTCGCTTTCGCGCCGAGTATGAACCGGGCTTTTAAGACCTAAGTGCTTTGGACACGATGATCAATAACCTCACTAAAGAATATCGTGGGACATCTCCAAAAACTTTTAATATGGAGGAGAGGTGTGGTTAATCGAAAGCGTACTCGAATGCGTATGAAGGATGGGGTATTGAGGATTTGTTTTAAAATAATCCAGTTTGTTTTCTCCATGCCCCCTTACTCCATTGGTAACTGATGACTTCCGGGTGATTTTTACGTGCAGAGATGGCAAGCCCTTATAGTTTTGTCGATAATTAATCTTCCTGAATGGGTCCAATTTGGTCCATGGAAGTACACCATCCTCGCTCACATTGTTCATGCATGCATTCATCTTTACCCTGTTTGAAACGGCCTGTAAAAATAAGTGCCGTTGCACTCTGAATTTCTGACTTTCGTCCTCTGAATTTCTAAATCGTTTTTTTTTCTTGAAGATCCTAATGGGGTTAAGAGTGTACGGTCCTTTCCCCCAAACATCGCCTACGTACGCTAATTGCTTTCAGATGAAGAGAGAATGAATGCATTCGGTTCGAGAACAGAACAAGTCGGGTGTGAATTGAATGAAGCGGGGCTCTATAACCCACAATGAATGCCTGGCTTAATGGGTCTTCTGGGGCAAAACTATTGTTGAAAATCGTAAACAACTTCCTTCCTAATAAGAGGGCCTCCGGCCCCTCTGGCCTTTTGTGCTGTTGATGCTACGATTATCTGCGGGGTTAATGGCATGTTTGCACAAGTGAGTCAAAGGACCTGGATTTATATATAAAGACTTCCTCTCTTGAGTCTAAAGACAGTCAGTTCCACTCGTCCCATCTTGTTGTTGTTTTTTTCCGAAGAAAACTATTAAAGGGAAGATACAACATTTACAAACATCAAAAAACGAAATGATCAAATTATCACGAAATACCGTACTAAATTGTTGGGGATTGACAGTCTAAAGCATCCTTTAAAATCGTGGCTCCTGGTGTACTGACATTTTCAAGAAAAACTGTATTTATTTAGCGTTTGTCGGCCGACCCGCGTTGGAGAAAACTGGACTTTTTTCAAAACCTGTACCTGAGTTTTCATATTATTTGTAGTTATTCTGACATTATTCTTTGCAATTGATTACACATGTGAAGGGGTACAAGCCTGCTACACTGATTCTCTGACCTTACAATTCCCCAAAGTGTATCAATTGCTCAGTTTCATCTTAACTGGGGTCAGGGAGCCAGACTACAAGAAAATGATAGGTTTTCTTGGTTTTTCCAGCATCTACAAGCCCAAAGCGTGAAACAAGTCAGTTGAACAATATTTTCTGTGACACACTAATCTTTCAAATCCATGTATTGCTTAAAATTGCAGCAAAAGCAAATGTTGTACATTCCCTTTAAAATGTGGTACAGGTTTGGAAAACACGACATTGAAGAATTTTCTGTCGAAAACATGTCTGATTGAAAGTCTATGTAACTGTTCAGTGTTTTTAAAGCTCTGTCAGGAGCTTCTTCATGTCACGAGGTCGGTCGGTTGGACGGTCAATCTGACCGTGCCCGATATTTACTAAAAATATTTGACCAAAAATTGACCAAATGCCATGCAGTCGTCAGTAAAAATAAGTCATTTTTTCTTATTTCTTAAAAATGTGGTTTCTGTCACGTCTGCGAAAGGCGAATAGCTGCAAATAATTTGATGACATCAGGATTTGCCAAGGTGTGATATTGGACACTCCACATTAGTCCCACCTACACTTATCTATATTCGCATACGAGGTCGTGCGCTAGAAATCTAGCGCAATATAAACAAAAACATACGCTTTTGCCGACGATCACAACTGAACCAAGGCTCTCGATCGTCCCCAACTGATTTGCATAAAAATAGTGGCCGCATGAGGTCGCTGTTCGCGCTGTATTTTTTACATGCACTGCATAGCGGCAGCGCACGAGGATGGCCGCCGATTGATTAACGAGAGCATTGACCAAGGCTAGGACAATAATGGAACCTTCTATATGTTTAAAGAAGTGCACTTATCAATAAAATTAACCAAAAAGGGATGTCAAATGGTTACCATACATTTAAGATGTGTTCCTAAAAAAAAAATCACTGCACTGCCCTTTAACATGGTACGTCAGATATGTGATGGGATTAAGCAATTGATGATACGTGCATGGAATTTGGCACACAGTCATAGTATGTCATGAGAAAGGTATTTGGCTCTGGGCTCCGTGCGCCGACTAAAGAGGGCGTCCTTTTACCTAGCAACAACGTCCCATGGGCGGGACATTTCGCTGGTTGACGCGCACCGTTCGTTGTGTGACGCACGTACACCAGGGGATTTGTACTATGTGCACGCATATATAATCAGGTTATATTGAACAATAAAAGAGATATTTATACCTTTGAGAAAACTGTGAAATATAATGCGTTTCCATTTTGCTCGACGTAAAGCGAGATTTTCTTCGAAAGCCCTCCCTTCCAATATGTTATTCCACTAGTATGTTTTAACTTGCGCCCTCTTGTGGTGTGATCCCAGTTAGTCACCAGCTAGTTGAGATGATTAATCCACAGGATGTTTGATCCTATAATTCACTAGCAACCAGGTGGGATATTTCATAATATTCTGGCAATTTCATTTGGAATGTTTACAAAATGGTCCATTACCGGTATAAACCTTAAAATAGTCTGGAGTGTTCATATATGGGGTGAGTAAAAAAAACAAAACAAAAACAAATGTCGGGAGTATTGTTTTAGTGAAGTTTTGCATGTATAGCACTTTCAAAATCTAAAATGCTAGTATATTTATGAAAGCCCAATTCATAAGCTTTCTTTTAGTACAAGAATCATTCAAATCACTCATGTACTTTTTAAGTATACAGAATTTTGAACACAACCACCGTTTTAAAGTTGTGTCCACGGATCACAAAAAAAGGTGTGCGTTCTTTCAGCAAAACGAAAACAATTCACACACATCCCATGTGATGTGCTGTGTTTCAAATTCCTTAACCTGAAAATTAAGAGAGTGATTTGAAAAATTGTTATATTAAAAGAAGGCTTATGAATTGGATTTTTATATCCTATATTTTGAAAGTGCTACATGCAGAACTTCACTAAAACAACGGTCCCGACATTTGGTGGTTTTTTTTTTTACTCACCAGTCTTTTTTCTCTTTTGTTTATTGGATCATCTCTTTTTCCCCCGATTAATCTGAACGCATACCCGTTAAAGCCGAAAAACAAACCAAAAGAAAACGAACTTAGTTAAGTATAGTATAGCCCTTCTCCCACGAATAAACTGAAGTATCATGACCAGCGCCAAATCCGGCCGTTATCTGTCCATTACCACGTCGTCATCTGTATGAAAGAAACGTAACAGAAAAGAGCTTTATCATTTCAACACCATTTTACACAATAAACAATCAAATCATCCTGATTTTGGTATTTGTGCTTGCAGCAGCAACCGGGTACGCCGACCCAAAGTTTTAATTACATCTTTCAATGATTCGAACCTTTAAGACTTGAAAGTATTTACAGAACTATCATCTGTTATCTAGGCGTAAGAGCCTTTCATTATAGACACATTTAAGTAATCAATTAATTATACAGAATTATACCTGAGACAACACTCGTTTTTGCAATTGTTACGATTATTTCTAATTATTCGTACCCCATATGATATTATGTTTAGTCTCATCGCTGTGATGACTACCAGGTACGACAGTGTTTTAATTACGGTCATTCAATACTTTGAACCTTAAAGACGTCTTGATGGAGACAATATTTACAGAACTAGGGTCTATCATTTAGACGTAAGAGCCTTTCATTTTGCATAATTGCGTAATCAATAATGGAATTAACCTTGAGACTTCCCTCCTCTTTACAATTGTTATGGTTATTTCTGAATATTCGTACCACATTTGATATTATATTAAGGCAAGCTTTTCAGAACTATCTTTTTTGGTTTTGTACAATACCAAATATCTTCCGCTGAGGATAAATCACGCATACTATGGTGCAAGTCAATTCAGACTTGTTTGCGTTCTGAACGCATTAGATCGCTAGAACAATAATTCTAGCATCTCATCTAGTAGATCTGATCTTTATGAATCTTACTGCCAACCTGCAAATCTAGTTTTATACCTCCGTCAGAAACTACTCCGACCATACCTTGATTGCCACTTGTGGATTTCATTTGAACCTTTAAGCTTTACAGAACTTTCCTTTAGGCTTCAGAGCTTTTAGCTTTACTTAATTGAATAATCGCAAGATACCACTCGTCTATTACATTATGGCTGTTTCTGGATTTGTACCCCATCTAACATTGCTGTGTTGACTGCCAGATACGAAAAACCAAAACCATATTTGGAAAATGGAAACGTACACCTGAACTATGCAAGACAACTCCTTCAGGCAAGGGTAGCAATGTTCGTCTCTTATAAATACTGTTTGAGACATTGAACACCTATGAAATTACAACCAGACTTAACAACTGTGTTAAAAATTGTGTGTTGTCGTTGCTGCTCGCAAGCGTGAAGTGATCTACCTTCAATCCAACCACGCACACATTCCTGTGCCGCTCCCTATTCAAATTACCCGCCCTTAACCACTCTACCGTGTCTCATTTACATATCAATGATAAAGCAGATTTATTCTAATTCGTCCCGGTACTCAACCGAATAAATCAATATTTCAACTCTAACAACAAAATGCTTCAATGAATCCAGAATGACGAAAAAAGATATATTTTGGGGGGGTTGGGGTGATGTGCAACTATGAAAAAAGACTTTCAGTCTTTCACGTTGGCTTGCTTTTGTAAATAGACAGGTACCAGTCTACCCAGCGATAACTGTATTATTAAAAAGATTTGAAACTTTGCCTGGCGGTAGTGTAAACTATAGTGAGGGTTTACGGTGAGAACTTCTCGTGACAACGATCAGAGCATACTGATCGGAACGTCGAGTTAGTTCTGAACCAACCGGTTCATTTCAGAACCACACATCTTCTCGAAAGAGATTTTTCCACATGATGTTACCACAGACCCTCACTAGTTTAACACATACACTCACTAGTTTAATGCAGACACTCACTAGTTTACGCAGTCACTCACTAGTTTACGCAGACCCTCAATAGTTTAACACAGACACTCACTAGTTTAACACAGACACTCACTAGTTTAACACAGACACTCACTAGTTGAACGCAGACCCTCACTAGTTTAACGCAGACCCTCACTAGTTTAACGCAGACCCTCACTAGTTTAACGCAGACCCTCACTAGTTAACGCAGACCTTCACTAGTTTAACTGAATTATTGTCGGGCCTCAAATAATTCGCAAGTTCCCAGTAATCTCTGAACACAGACGGCTTTTACTGTGAAGTCTCTTTCAGGTATAAAATTGCTCGGAAAATGTCAACTTAATTATGCGTGTATTTTATTTTACCCTAGAAATTCGAAAATAGCACGAACAGTTAAAGTTTCAAAATAAGGAGTCGGTAGCTACCTCGTTGTACAGGTCTAGTCTCCAGAGTTCAACGGTTTTCTCTTTACTGGCAAGTACCAGGATCCATAGGGTGACTCTTGATGCACCGTTTATTGCCTGGGCACTCATTGGTGGAATGACACCCTTTCGGAGAAAAACAAATAACGAATGAATACAAGAAAATACGTTGGGGTGATTTTTAGTCCCTTTTTTAAAATATAGTTCCCAAATTTGTGGCGCCAATTGTCTATAAGAATACAGGGTGACATGGGCGTCGCCAGGATTTTGTTCTAGAGGGGGGCAAAACATATTTTCCCGAAAAATTCCTGTATTTCCCAACATATTCTCGATTCATCAGTTTTAGAGGGGGGTAGGACATTCCCCCCCCCAAAAAAACACCCCATTAAATTAACAGCAATATGACTTTGCGCCTCTTTTTTTCTCTTCTTTTCCTCCTTTTTGGGGTGCTTTTTCAGGGGATGGGGAAGCCCCCGCCCCCCTTGCCCCCTCCTCACGACGCCCATGCAGGGTGAGTCAAAAAGAAAGTGAGCCTAATTCAATTTATGCATGTATTAAAAGAGCATGTTCTCCCACTCATCTGAAGAAAGGAAATACAAGAATTGATCCATGCCATCAGAGGTTATGCATGTTTTCATGGCTGTCCATGCAATACCAATGGTATCTAATTAATGAGCTGATTGCAAATTACACATTACACATATATATTCAAATACAAATGAGACTTTAATAATTGAAATCAAGACTGAAACATTCTTTTGACTGTCAGATTTTGTGTTTTGAATATGAGGAACAAGTCGACTCTTATATTTTGTGAAACATTGCAAGCAATTTTTTTTTGTATGTGTTCCTTCGCTGAGTTTTGTGATTTTGTTATTGGAATAGCCATAACTTTGGAATAGAGTATGCAAATTACGTGAGATTTTCACATTTATAAGATGTACTTTATCCTTATTTTTTATGAAATGGAGCAAGCTAAATATTTTCAAAATTGGTCACTCTCTTTTTGACTCACCCTGACCTGTATATTGTATGCTAATGACGTTTCGGACATTGATTTTGCTTTTGATGATTGTGTGGATGTATCAGTTCAATATAACCAACATAAAGCATAGGTTTACCTCCACGTGCAACTTCCAAGGGTAAAGGAAGAAAACATGTCAGCTATTTAGGTGTAGAAAATAGCTATCAGTGATCAGCGAAGTTCTTATTTGAACTGTCCATTTCTGACTGGATGTTGTACTACAGGGTGAGTAAAAAAAAAGAAACCCAAATGTCGGGGCCGTTGTTTTACTAAAGTTCTGCATGTAGCACTTTCAAAATCTATGATATAAAAGCTCCATTCATAAGCTTTATTTTAGTACAAGAATCATTCAAATCACCCATGTATGTTTTGTGTTACGGGATTTTAAACACAACCACCATTTTAAGGTTCTGTCCACGGATCACAAAAACAAGTTTAGTGTTCTTTCAGCAAAACGAAAACAAATCAGATAGGGATGTGTGTGAATTGTTTTCGTTTTGCTGATAGAATACACACCTTTGTTGTGATCCGTGGACAGAACCTTAAGACGGTGGTTGTATTTAAAATTCCGTAACTTGAAAAGTACAGAACCGATTTGAATGATTCTTTTGCTAAAAAAGCTTATCACATCATAGATTTTGAAAGTGCTACATGCAAATCTTCACTAAAACAATGGTCCCAACATTTGAGTTTTTTTTACTCACCCGGTAGACTGCAAGTTTAATGATGTGTCAAAAGTACTGTTTTTGTTAAACGCGACAAAAGAGGAATTATGACCAATTTTTTAATAACTAGAACCATTAGCATTAAAAGAGATACACCTGTAAATAATGTAGAGCCCTAATGAAGACTGCACTCACGTTTCTCAATGGCCGTGTCAAGACGATCTTCAAGATTTGCAAGAAGTTCTCAGATCAACTCTCGCTCGTACTCTGAAAGGGAGGAAGAGTGCCGTTTTATAACACAGCCTGTTGGACTGTTGCATGGGTATGTCCAGTGTTAGGGTGAGGTTGGAGTGGAGATGGGGGTGGGGTGGGGTGTGATAATGAAGTAATGCCAGAGGGACCCTAACGGGGAAGGAGGGGGAGTGACATAGAACGCCCTGGCAGGTAGCAATTTAACCTCTCGTGCACGAGGGGGAGGGGATATAGTGGCCTGACGTCATCCCGAACTTTGACGCATTGACGAATTTTTTTGTTGGATATTTGTGACATTTGCTTACTAAATTTGATTCAAAATGTGCTGTAACGTGATGCAAACGGCTCTCTTCTGCTCTGCATGTATATCTCTTGAAATGTGATTTTTGATTAGGTGGCGACATAAAGTGGGCTAAAGAACATGTACAATATGTTTAAACATTTGGGTTGCCCTGCGGTTGCCTGTCGGCATGACGTCACAAGACACATGGTCTACACAAATCTGCGTTGTGTTTGTACTTTTTTGGTTTTCCGACAACAGATAAGTAGGTTGTCACACCCTAAACCATTCCAGTGGAGCCCGTTGGTTGATATGCTCAAATGATCATGCGAGTGGGCGAATATTACAGAAATAAAGAAACATAGACATAAAGAAACCTTCATAATGTTTACCACCCCTTAAGAAACCTGTAGATATTAAAGCCTATTTTGAAGTGATCACATTACAAATTCAGTTGTTTGTTAAAAAAACAAACATATTACCTCTGTCGTCTTGCTCTCGGAGGGCTGAAAAGAAGAGAAGAGATACCAAACATGTTTTGAATATTTAGTCCTTATTGTAAAATGAGCGACACAAATCACACTCTTTCTTTGCAGGGCGCCCCCAGTACTGGTCTGCCATACCGATGAATAACACCCAAGGTCAAAAACTCTGCAAATTAACATAATAATAGCTTTTGTCTGGCCTGTTGTTAGCTTTCGATGTCACGAGATCACGTACGTTAATCAGAAATCACGACAGCCCCAAATCCAGTGTGTGATTCTCGCTCTCAATATCTAAGTTTGGGCTCTCGGATCTTACAATTGGCGACGAGCACGGATCCTTCGCAACGCTGAGGAACCCTGCAACACTGTGAAGTTGGTTTTGACCGCCGATCTCGAGAATAAAACAGTGCATTTCCGCGTGGGAAAGTCATGAGTGAGTGAAACGTTTTCGTACACACACCCCACATGTACAGTGGCATTGGCTATACACACACCGCCAGTGAGGGTGACCGCAACGTCAGAGCCAAATTCTGCTAAATGCACATAAAAAATCGGTCAGATCTATCAAAAATTTACCAAATTCCCCAGAATTACTGGAATTACACTATAAACACTTACGATGACATGCAGATGGGTAGTTTTGCCTTAATTAAGATTCAAATGACATAATTAACAATTTATAGTCACATACAAATGTTGTGAAATTATTGGTAAATTTTCGGCAAAATGCGGATCCGGCCACGACGAAGTAAGTTTCCCAGTGAACCCCAGCACCTCGACCAGCCAACTTGTCCCATTGTGCAATGTTTTTTTTTTTTTTAAAGGATTGAACCCTTTTTTAACAAATGTACACTTTTTTTTTCAAATTTGCTGTTTTTCTGTCAAAATTATAACCATTTTTGACAATTGTGCCAGAAATCTGCCAAACAAAATCCATTCTGTAAAATTTGCTGTCAAACTCGTTTTTTAACAAAAATTCTGCCAAAGTTAGCCGAAAATCGGCTAAAACGGTCACCTTGCACAACGCATCCTGTACGTGTATTGTTAATGTACCCGTGTTGCAGCGAAGTTTAATAGGAATCCGCCGAAACTTCAGCGTGTCCCACAAACATATGTGTTTTTTTGGTTTTTTTTGTTAGAATTTGTCATCACGGCCCATACTTTCAATGATGTTTCACTCAGGGTCGCTTGACAGTGTATGAAAAAAAACTTGGCAGTAGTATGTTATATAATGATGTAAATGGGGATATTAGTAGCTTCGTTGCGACGAAATTAGGAATTGTTAGTGTTTTTCTTGGAATTTCTGATCAGGGCCCAAGCATCCAAACTTTCTCATCATTGCCCATATTTTCGAATTTTTCACTCGGGGTCTTGATAGAGTACTACAAAACTGAAACAAACGTTGGCAGTAGTGTGTTATTCAATGACGCAAATGAGGAAGTGAGTAGTTTCGCCAGAAATTCCTAATTTTGTTGCAAACTAAATTAGGAATTTCTAGTTTTTTCTTAGAATTTGTCGTCACAGCTAATATTTTCAAATGACGCAAATGGGGATACAAGTAGTTTCGTTGCGACAAAATTAGGAATTTTTAGTGTTTTTCTTGGAATTTCTGATCACGGCCCAAGAGTCTAAAAAAGGTCATGGCAGTGAACTCAAAGGCATCCCTAATGGATCAGAGGGAAGTCACGTCAGAGTTAGACTCAAATGATTTTTGCAAAAGATGCATAAAGCTGGAGAGCGAAAACAGCAAGTTGAGGACCCCCAAAATGAGGCTACAAAGCCAACTTTTGGCAAACTTAGTAGGTAAAAAATTCAGGGATGATGTACTTTTAACCAATACTATAATTTTACACCGTGCCCTGCTTTATTGGAAGTTAGTACAATTAACTTTACCAGTACTTGTGCTACGGTTAAAACTACTACTCTGCCAGTGATCCCGGAGCGTTCGCCTTGGGAAAATAAAGTGCTCTGTCACCTCGGGAGTCGTACTATATACATATAGTACTCAAAGCAGTCAATGTGTACAAAATAGCACCTATACAGGTGAAACAAAGGCCTTTATACCTGCCCCCTGCAGCAGTTGAACCAAATTTGAGAGAAATAGATGACAATAATTCACACGCAAATACCCAACTTGACTCAAAGAAAAAGGGGCTAAATTCCTGTACTTGGTTATGAAAACAGTCTGTGATGATTTTGTTTGTTCTTACGTATTTTTTCCTCCTTTATATTGATTTATTATTCAAGGTGACAATGCCCCAGTCTCCACAGAAATGCAACAGACAGTATCCCCTCCTCCACCTGAAGCCAATGAAACAAGCGAGTGTGTAAGTTTATCATTAATTAAGAACCAAGCTTTTACGCAGGGGCAGCACAAACTCCTGTAGTATGGGCTCCGTGCGCCGACAAAAGAGGGTTCCTTTTCACCTAGCAACGACGTCCCATGGACGCAACATTTCGCTGGTGGACGCGCACTGTTCATTGTGTGTGACGCACGTACACCAGGGGATTTATACTCAAACTCCAATAAAGTAGAGAGACACCAAAGTTGTGTGTGTGTATGTGCCACAGCTCCAAATTTAATTTAAGAAAAATTACCGGAGTACCAAAACGTTGGGCAAACCGGAACATTAGGCGGTACTCCTGACCACCGTAAATCATCAATGAATAATGATATCTACAGGCTACATGTACATGTGTTCCGATAGTGATACCAATACAAGATTACCGGAATACCAAAAAAGGTTGGGCAAACCGGAAACATAGACGTTACACCCGAACTCATAAAGGACTCAATGATGGATAGTGATACCCAAGACCATTATCCACACAAACCATCAACAAAGAACGCAACAATGGATTGTATGTATAAAAACTAGTAAATGCTAGGAAGTTTAAGCAAAAAGTAAAAGCATTTACTTTGGAGTAAAAGCATTAAGGAAAAGCAAATGCTTGATTTCGTATGAATAAAAGTTTTCCTTTACTGTTCAGCATTTACTAGACAACAGGTAGCAAATGCGTCTTACTGTTGGATTGTTTTCATGGACGAATGATTGCCAACAATAGGGTTTCTTTTGTGTGTACGAACTGCCGCACACACACACAGGTTTACAGGTGGTGTAATAGTCCAAATCAAGGTGATGCACACAGTACATGAAGTAGTACAAACATTTTGATCCTCAAATCCAGCAAAAATGATGACACTTTTCGGCAGTTGCAGAATACAAAAAGTATACTTTCATCATTCATGAAAATTGTAAAGGTCCACAGTGTCCTGTAGACGTCTTAATTGCATACAAAATCACAGACACACCAACATTCGATAAGATTCGATAAGAGTTTTGTTTATTGAAATATTAAAAAAATAATAGTTTGCAAAGATTGGTGACCTAATAAACTAAACAAATGATTTCATTTTGTTCAGTCCCCAGGGTGCCGTTGGATAAAATGTATCTTTAATCATTCTGTGCCGCACTGAATTTTACGCTAACACTTCTCATATCGTGAACAAAATGCGAAATTATCGTTTTTAATTCTAGTAATAAAATACATAATAAAAAAGCATTTAAATTGCGCATAAATGTTAGTCAAAATACAGTGTATGGTATTATATGTAGTTTATTAACGTTTTGTGTCAATTTTGGGGCAATTAATATTAATAAATGCAGCAGTTTTTGCTTATATTTTCAAGGTTGCCCCAACCTAGCCTTGAAAAATGACCAGTAAAAATGCTTGAAATCTGAAGCATTTACTCCTTTTTATTCATACGAAATGAAGTAAACCCTTCTAGTCTAGCGAAAGCTTGCAAGTAAAAAGTAAATACTTTTAGCTTTCAGCAAATGCTTTCCAGTTAAAGCATTTGCTACATTTTTATTCATACAAATGTAAGTAAATGCTTTAAAATGGGTAGTAAAAGCAAATGCTAGTTTTTATACATACGACCCAGTGGCTCAATGATAACAGTAGGCCTAACCACCATATAGATAGTGATACCCATGACCACTGTCCACACAAAACCATCAAGAAGGAACGCAACAGTGTGACTGTTCTCTACTCAATAGGAATCGCTACAGTAAAACCATAGACCATAAAGGTCAACAAATTAGTTATTCCAGAAAACTTTCTTGGAATAATAAATTACAATCAATTGTTCCAACCACTGGAATATGCGGCTGGTATAATCCATGTGGGATGTCACGGGTCACTTGTTACACATTCATGTTTACAATAAGGATAAACTCCCAGGTATGGTAGGGAATGGGCCGTCACGGCGCTATATTGTTCCATTACAAAATTACATCTAGCACATGAAACTTTAGAGGAATATGTACAAGCGAAATGTCCCATCCTATTGAAGTTAGGTAACTCCATATCCAAACAAATTTGGTGTTCGACTTCTTATTTGGCACGAAAAAATGCCACACGCGAGAATCGCGACCCACAAAGAAAGAACGAACACACCAATTAAGGCACTTCCAAGTGTGTTCAAACACCCTGGCCCTTCGCCCTTGTTGTGAGAAGCCATGCGGCTTGCCTCATAACGCACCGCACTCTCCCACAACTCGGTCTACGTATGTGCACCAAATACAGCCGAACCCTGATAAGAAGATCACTGTCGATACAACACCTTGCCTATAACAAGGAACATTTAAGGTCCCCAGGCTTTGCTTTCTTTGTTTTCGGTTACTGATAATTAATACAAGGTACCTGTTACAACAAGGTAATGTATAAATTCCCAAGGTCATTGCATTATCGTCAGAACAACCTCCAACACATTTGCGGAGTGAAAAAAAAACCTCAGGGCAAACACACCCTTTCTGATTAAAAAATTGAAGGGTCAAAATCCAAGAGGGACAAACCCCACATATAAGTGCTGAGAAACAGTCCATCGGAATGCAAAAGTCCGGTTGGCTGTAAAAGAATTCGAACTCAAGACTTGTGTAACTAACTTTGAGTATAAAATTATACAAATACAAAAAGGTGGACAAACAAAATATGGTTTCCTGAAACTGGTACAACATTATGCCACAGGTGCGGTTTCGTGATTGAAGGCGAAAAGTTCAGCAAGGCCCAATAACTGATACGTGCACCGAGTACTACATGTACCGCGATTAATGTTGAAAATGCTCTCACAGGCAACGAACGTGCGGCAAATTAGGCCGCTCATGGTAAATTCAACATTAATAAACAAATACCTTCCTTTCGAAAGTATTGATGTACAAATAAAAACAATATTTGGTATTCTCAAAATGCAGAAACTACGACTGGACCATATGGGTTTATAGCTGAAAAATACGCCCACCACAAAGCCACGCAATCATTCCAAGATACTTTGAAATATGAACGAATACCATTTGTTTACAGTAAATACCTACAAGCCGTACGGGGCACTGGTTCGACTATGTAACCCCAAATGATCCAATCTTTCAAGTGCAATCACCCATGCAGCGTAACATAAATTGGTCAATTTAGAATTTGGTAAATGTCAACTCATTCATTCCGTCAGGTTTTCTCCTCATGAAGATCAGAGCCTTTTAATCGGAGCAATAATTTCACGAACAAAGTTGGTTGATCTTCAGATGCACTGATGCAGTAACCCTGAGCATACTGGCTGATTGCGCCATGACGACCAAACGGTTGTTTCAGAAAAACCCCTATAGTCCCCAATGATATTAATACACCTGCTGTTGTCGCACACCCTCATAGTTTACACTAACCCCATGCCAAGAGTCAAACCTTCCCATAATTAACTGGCACTGTACTGAAATTATTATGAATGATCTTCTAAAAAAGCATGCACCCGTATGGTGTTACAACAAACGGCAGGTATATTTAAATGACCAGTGATAACTCATCAAATCAGTGTTATCAGCCAGCTGCATCGCCGACACCAATACACAGTCGCACCCTTCGTCTAACTATGCATAGATGTGACATGTAAAAGATGTATTCAACATGGCCGGCCCAACACTGGCCAAAAAGAAATACGTACTTGGTTTGCATAGACGTTCATTTCACCAACGATTTGTAAATTAAACTCTGCATCTCTTCCACAAGTATTCATATACATGGTGCTACCGCAAACTATCACTAGTTACCACTAATCCAAGCGAAGGTACAAATGTTATGAATCCTGTATTACAAGACATGTACATGTATATACATGTATACCCACAGTGTTACCTTTTAGCCCCTAAATGGATGTTAGACAACTACAACCTGGAGCCACACAATCGGCCTTACGTCGGCCAAAATAAATACATTTCGCTTCACAAACTAACTTCTGATCAGTGTTCTAAAGACGGCAGAACTCAAGTGTAGCATTCATTGAAAGACGTTTATTAACAGCCCGTAATAACATCATATAATATGGATACGGTGGCCGCGTAATGCCACTCCATAACATCCCCTTTCCTTAAGATAAGGAACAGTCTTTAGTTGTTGCTGAACTTTCACTTGAGACTGAGTGTAAAGCGTGTTCTGTTACAGTGGTGATCACGAACGCTAAACCTTTGTGAATAACTCAGCAAACATTATGAACGCTTTAACACTAGAACGTATTTGGAACAGCTCTAAACCTTTAACACTACTTAGTAATAAGGTTAGTTTAAGAACAACTTTAGTAAAAGCAACTTTAACCAATAAACTGCATGCAAGCGTAGTCTATCTAAACTAAGTGCTGGCCTATGGCCCTAAGGCTTTGTGGGTGAGTGTCCCAAAGTTGGTGGTCTGGAGATGCGACCGGATCTGGTGATGGTAGCGTTGGTGTTCAGTCCTGGAGGTTTGTCTGTGGGAGCGGAAGGTCCATCTTGTGCCTTAGCGACTGGACTGGCGGCACTCGAGTTGGGTGGCTCGGTGCTAGCTGGTTGCTGCATGAGCTGAGGTTCACTCACACGTGACTGGTGTTGTAGGTGGTTTCGCGTTTTCCCGACTGTCTCTGAGGTGTATGCGGTTGCGTCTGTAGCATTTGCTACCGACTTCTACGATGTAGCTGCGTGGCGCAACTTTGGCTTTTATCACTCCCTGGGTCCATGGGGAGCCTTCAACCTTGGGTCGAGTTTTGGCAGGGAGGGAGGCTTTTGGCAGTGCGGTCGTGATACAGTTTAGCTGTCTGTCTTTAGGTCACGACTTGCTCGGTGACGGCCTCTACAACCTGGGGATTGTACAGTAAGCTCTTGCAAGGGAGGAATGAGAGCGTTCGTCGAGACATTAAGCGCTGTGCCGGAGAGCTGGACATTCCCGGAGTAGTGGTGTTCCTCCATTCAAGGATAGCCTTCCCACGTCACTGTTGTCTTGGCAGCTTTGGTCACAAGTCCCTTGGCGATTT